AGACTCCAACCCCTCCTTCCCAAGCTCATTTGTGAGAACCAGTCAGCTTTCATTAAAGGGAGAAGCATAGTGCAGAATGTTCTGTTGGCCCAAGAATTAGTGTTGGATCTGGACAAGCATTGCAGAGGTGGGAACCTAATACTTAATATGGATATTAAAAAGGCTTATGATACCATCAACTGGGAGTTCATTGAGGAAGTGTTGTATGCTAAGGGATTTACTAAACAATTTATCTTGCTGATACATAGATGGCTAATAAACAACTCTCAATCAGTGTTTATTAATAGTAAATCTCATGGTTTCTTCACCTCATCTATAGGAATCAAGCAAGGTGACCCACTACCTCCTACTATCTTTATCATTGCTTTTGATTACTTCTCAAAACTATTGAATCAGCTCATGGTTTCATCCCCTCATACACTCTACAGTCATAGATCTAACATAGCTGTGAATCATTTAGCATTTGCTGATGATGTTATTATTTTTGCCAAAGCAATCAAACCAGTAGTTAAATTGGTTCTTCAATGCCTGGAGAAGTTTCAAGAATGTTTTGGTATGCAATTCCATACTAAGAAATGCCTTTTGGTGTTTAACAAAAAAGTTAAACCTAAAATTAAGCATTGGATTGCTGACCTTAGTGGCTTCAGGTCTAGCTCTCTGCCTTTAAAATACCTGGGTACTTTGCTATTGAAGGGGAAAACAAGACATGTTCAATTTGATGATTGTATCACCAAAATTCAGGATAAACTAAACTGTTGGGCAAATTCATTCCTTTCCAATGGGGGTAGAGTTACTCTTCTTAAAAGTGTCTTGACAGCTCTTCCATCCTATATCTCCCAGGTATCTGTAATGAGGAAGTCAACACAATTAACTCAGGAAAGAATGTTTAATAGATTCCTATGGGCAGGTCAGAGGAACCAATTGCATTGGACCAGTTGGCATAAGCTGTGTGGAAGTACTAGTGCTGGTGGGCTGGGTTTCAAAAGTATCAAAAAAATTTCTCAAATCAATTTCTGTAAGCTTTGGTTGATGTTCAGAGCTCAGAGTTCTCTTTGGGATAAATTTTTGAAGGGCAAATACCGTAGAGAGATGTACCCCTCCCTTGTCACTAAAAGACTTGAGGATTTCAGGGCCTGGACCAATATGCTGAAAGTAAGGTCAAATGCTGAAAACCTATTTACCTGGAATGTTAAAGAGGGCAAACTTAATATTTGGTTGGATAATTGGTCTGGTGAGGGTTTAATCAACCCATCATCTAATTCTCAATTTAATCCTACAACTCAGGTGGCTGAGTTATGGCTCAATGGTGATTGGAATCAGCAAGCTTTACAGAATATACTGGATAACAGAACTTTACAGAAGGTAATGAAAAGCATCATTGATAGTGAAAGTAAAGATAAACTGATTGTGAAAAAGAAGGTGTCTCCCAGTATTTATTTGCAGTCGTAGCTAACTTCTATTTTCCTCAACAAAGAGTCATTTGGAGTAAATGTGTGTGGAATAAATTCCTATCCCCTTCCATGTCATTTTTCTCTTGGAGATTACTCCATGGCTTTCTGCCCAGAGATGATATACTGAAGTTAAAAGGTTTGAGAGGTCGTTCTAGATGTGGGTTATGTAAATCCCAAGAGGAAATTATTCAGCACTTATTTTTTCAATGTTCCTCACTTAAACGGGTTTGGAACTGTTTAATTCCCAAACTGAGGTTAGAAATTGTTCAACTGTCCAGGAGTGATTTCTCCCTCAGCTGGAAGGATTGGCATGCTCAAGACTTACTCCCAATTCCTTGCATCACAGCTTGGTTTATATGGATGGCTAGGAACAAGCTTAAATATGAAGATACCTGGGTGGCAGCTGCTACCATTGCTACCAACTGCATCAGCTACTTGCAGAAATTTTAATTGTCATGGGAAGCTTCCTGATATCCTTCATAGTACATCCCACAGTCTTCCTAGAAAAATCAAGTATGCACTTATCCATTGGGTTCATCCCCCAAAGGTTGGAATTAAAGTTAACACTGATGGTAGCTTTTCTATTCCTTATGTTGGTATTGGAGGGGTGTTTAGAAGTAATAATGGAAAGTGTTTACTCTACTTTCATTCTCCAGTTAGTCCTAAGGATCCTCTGGAGGCTGAAACATTGGCTATTTTTTGGGCTATGTTTATGGCCCATAAGTGTGGTTTCACCTTAATAATCTTAGAATCAGATTCCAAGGTCATAATTGATATCATTGAAGGGAGGTTACCTACTCCATGGTACCTGATGCAGTGGATCAGAAAGATTCACTCCTTAGGAGAGGGCATTAGCTCCTCATACTCCCATATATTGAGAGAAGGTAATAGGCCTGCCCATTGGCTAGCTAATGTTGGCTTTCATTCTGAGCTTCCTGGGGTAGGCATTTCTACTACCCCCCACTTAGAGTTATTGTTGAGAGGAGACCTTGTAGCTCTTCCTTTCATTAGAGTATTTTCTATTTAAATATTTGGGAAGGGACTCTTGTGCCCCCTTCTCTTGTACTCTCATTTTTTTCTGTTTAATGAAGTAGGAGCCACTGTCTCCTTTTTATAAAAAAAATAAATTATGGAAGGAGCAATGGCCGCA